TAAGATCTGTAAGTTCATTCATGCTAAAAAAATTAATGTTATTTTTTTTTTTGGTTATTGATGATGGAATTTGATGTGTTGTAATTGCAGAATTCCTGCTTGATTTGGTGGGACAGAAGAAAGACGTAGGAGGATGATTTTGTGGAGTTGTTATTTATGTAGTTTGCACTTGTGTTGGTCATGAGGGATCCCTGTTGTTAGTGGTTCTATCAGTTTTGACCTTTTGCTATATATATGGTTATGTTTGTGTTGATCTTTGATTGTCTCCTAACATCATTTGCAAATCTAAAACCAAAATCATGGACCAGGTAATATATTTCTCATTTCTATTTATTACCACATTTTAATTATTTCCATTTTTTCCCTTGTTTAACCTTCTTCTATACACCAGGTTCCACCTGATGGGGTTTTAATTTCTGGTCACTCACTTTCAATTGATGAATCAAGTATGACTGGCGAGAGTAAAATTGTAAGTTTTTATAAAATTCTATTACCTTGTGTTTTTTCTGAAATCTTTTTTAGGGTATATAAAGCAACTTTTTATTTTTATAAATGTAACGGGTTCATAAAGATCATAAATCACCATTTTTAATGTCGGGGTGTAAGGTGGCATATGGAGCAATCAAAATTTTCACTGTTGTTGTATGTATTTAGCAACTAGTATTTACTTCATGTATTTTTATTAAGTTTCCTTTTTTACCCTTCTTCTAATTTGATGAATCTTTAGGTCACGATTGTTGTTGTTGCGGTTCCAGAAGGACTTCCATTAGTTGTCACATTAACGTAAGTTGAACCTTTTCTTATAATTATTAATCCATTTCTTTTAAATTAGTTTTTGATTAACAAAATATAAATCATGTTGCTCATAATTATAGGCTGGCATACTCGATGGGATAAATGATGTCGGATAAAGCGTTGAGAAGTTTTATAATTTTGTTTACAATAAATCTCTTGGGGGCATTTTGGTAATTTTGGTAAGTTTTATAATTTTTTTGCGACTATTTAGTCCACATAAAACAACTTTGATGTTTGTTATTCGTGATAAAACAAGGGTAAGTTATGTTGTGCAACATGTGTTTTTAAAGAATGAAGAAGTTGGATAACATTTGTTGTAATTATCCTTTTGTTTCTGTATAGACCCCCCTTGAAAACTTAGAACCTGTTTTGAGGGAAGATATCCAGAAGGTAATTGTAGTTAATAGTTATTAATTACTTATTGTATTACTCCACAGTTAACACAATTGCAACACTTATAATGTTGTGTTCTTTTTTCCAGATTTGGGATTCTGTCCCTAAGCCAGAAGCCCACAAACATACTCCATTGAGTGACCTTTTTAATGTAGAAGTTGTTGCACTTTCTAGTTTTTCAGAGAAAGAAGAACAATCTAAGGAGCAGGTATGATAAAGATGACTTTTTTATAATACAAATTTGATTAAAATCAGTTTTAATTTGATGTGAAATAGGCTGATTTGGCAAAGCAGAGAGTTGATGAGTACATATATACTCATATGATGCAGGAAACTGGTGGTCTGAAGTCCATGTAAGTTTCTTGATTTGTAACATCTTGGATTCAAGAAATAGCAATGTACTTTCCATAAAAAAAATTACAAATTATATTCTTTGAAAAATTTGCTAGATTGGTTGGTTTAAAAGTAGAAAGTCCTAATAAGAATTAATTTTAAAAGTAGAATGAAAATGACAAGTGATTTTGGGTTGTTTACAGGGTTGGTGAAAGCGAATAGCTCTGGAGTTAGAAGAGGAAAAGAAAGCTTAAGCTGAAAGAGATAAGATGCTTCAAATGCAAGTGTTGCATTCTTCATTTCAATTGTTAGTATGAAACACAGTAGATTAGATGAATTCAAATTTATATATTGTAAGAAATAGAATTGTATGACATTAAATTTTATGTAATGGAATGCATTTTTTGTATAAGGTATTTTATTTTTTATTATGAGACATTAAATGTAAATTTAATTTAAAAAGTAATAAATATATAAATATATTTTTTTAAACATTTAAATTTACGATACAAAAAAATGTGTGTCATCTTCATTTATGACATGACCTTTCTTGACAAGGGTTTTCTTCATACGCATTGTGTGTCAATAACACGCGCGTCGTAATGTTACGACACATGAATGCGTGTCGTCTTCCTTTATGACAGGGCCTTCCTTGATACGCATTGCGTGTCGTAAACGCGCGTCGTAATTGTGCGTCGTAAATAAGCATCGTCTATAGATGACGCGAAGAAGCGCGTCGTCTCTCTTTATGACATGGCCTTCCTTGATGCGCATTTGCGCGTCGTCTGAGCCTTTTACGACGCGCAATGAGTGTCGTAAAAGGCTGTTTTTCTAGTAGTGGAGGACATTATTATGGATTTCATCATAAAGCTTCCCAGGACTGCACGGGGAATGGATTCGATTTGGGTCATCGTGGATCGGTTGACCAAGAGTTCCTATTTCATCCTGATGCAGAAGAGCAATTCGGATGACAAGCTGGCGACATCTACATCATAAAGGTAGTAGCTCAACATGGAGTGTCGGTTTCAATGATTTCTGACTGAGACGTGTGATTTACTTCCAAATTCTGGAAGAAATTTTATGACGAGTTGGGTACTCGTCTGCATTGTAGCACAACTTTTCACCCGCTGACGGATGGTCAGAGCGAGCGGACCATCCAGACTCTGAAGGATATGTTGCGGGTATGCTTCCTGGACTTTGGTGGTAGCTGGGATACCTACCTTCCCTTGGTAGAGTTTTCCTACAACAATAGCTACCATGCGAGTATCGACCATTGTCCCTTCAAGATGTTATATGGGAGGAAGTGTGGAACCCAGGTATGCTGGGGTAAGGTTGGACAGTAGGTCATAGGGAGTACCAAGGTGGTACTCAAGACGACGGAGAGGATCCAGCAGGTCTAGAGCAGGCTTCAAACTGCTCAGAGTCAGCAGAACAGCTACGCCGACAGACATTGATCAGAGCTGGAGTTTCAGGTCGGGGATATGGTTCTCTTGATGGTGACACCTTGGAAAGGTTTCATTCACTTCAGGAAATGGGGCAAGTTAGGCCCCAGGTACATTGGTCCTTTCAGGGTTGTATCTCGGGTGGGCAAGGTGGCGTACACGCAGGATCTGCTAGCCAAGCTTAGTCAGACACATAACACCTTTCATGTCTCCCAGCTGCAGAAGTGCCTGGTAGATGACTCCGTGGTGGTACCTCTAGAGGATATTTAGGTGGATGAAATCCTGAACTACATCGAGCGGTCGGTAGCCATCCTCGACAGGAAGACGAAGGATTTGAGGAACGAGAAGGTCGAGTTAGTGAAGGTGCAATGACAGCACCGCAAGAGATCGGAATGAACTTGGGAGCTGGAGGACGAGATGAAGGAGCACTACCCTGAGATATTTCCAGATGCAGCAGAATTTGAGGATGAAGTCTAAAATAAGTGGGAGAGATTTGTAACACCCGGTTTCAGGTATGTATTTTAATAAGAATTATTCATTTTTGTAAAGGGACTTGACGAGTTGGAGGCCCCAAACTCGTCGAGTAGAAACGGATTTTTGGGACGTGGGACTTGAAGTCAACTCGATTAGTTGAGAAGCCTCAACTCGACGATTAGGGCTATCAGAGTGAAACGCTAATTTTCAGGGTTTTCACCCTATTTAAGGAACTTAACACCCCATTCTGGCCTCCCTCAGTCCAGCAAAACCCTAATTCATATGTGTGAGTGAAAAAGTAGTGATGCTTTGGTATTTCCTTTAAGGAGTGGAAGCTTGAAGTGCTTGGTTGAAGGATGTAACGCTCGGGTTTCAGGGCTAAGCATTTTTGACACTGTAGTAGTCTAGTTCAACTATTGTAACTCTTTTTGAAGTAATAAAGATGAAATATTTGAGTATTATGTGAATTATGTGTATTTATGTACTTATTATTTAATTATAAATGTATAATTAATAAAGAATAAAAATAAGTATCAAAATTAAAGTATGAGATAAGCCCTATATCTTTATATAAAGTTATAGTGGTCAAAACAAGGATTCCGGGGATATAGAGAACGCGGAAATCCGAATTATCAAAAAGAAGTTATGCCTCGCCGAAGTTTTACGGCAAAACCACCACGGCAACGGGAGACGTAAATGGTGAATTTACGATGAAGGACTTTTTAGCCTTAGTGATCTAAACCAAAGTTGTAGTATATGTTAAACCGAGAACATCTATAAAAAGAACGCCCAAATCTTACTTCGTATGAGGAAATTATGATTTTTCTAAGATTCGGCTTAGTAGTGCACGACCCGAAACTCGAATTTTAGTTCGAGCGGTATTTGGCTTACACGACCTAAATGAGAGTTGAAGATATCATTAACAGGAAATCAACAGTAAAAAGACAGACGAAAACAGAGTCTGTATGTAGAAGTTATGAATTTTACGCGGACGTTTAACAGTATAATCTCCTCGTATGTGAATGTTACGGATTTTAGAAGTCGGAAGTGTACTGTGCGAAAATGGGTGACGTGGCACAATATTGGCCATTGCTTTCTCCCCAAGGCTTTCCACCAGATGGTGACATGTGGCACCAACTTCACCCACATTTCACCCTATAAATACCACCTCTCCTACCCTCATTTTCTTCACACCTTTCCCATTCTTTCTTCTCTTTACTCTATCTCTCTCTCTAGAACCTCTCACTAGCCCCGAAACCCCTCGAAAAGCCTAGGGAACCTCCCTAGCATGAGGCGGAAGCCCCAGAGTGCTTGACGACTCCGAGAAGAAGAGTTTTTTGGCTCGGGAATGCAGCTCCAAGCAAAGTCCAGTTTTCTATAAAACCCGCTGTAACTGAGCTACACCTACTCTATTTTTAATATAGTTTTTATTTAATTATAGTAACGTTATTAGGAACTTATAATAAATACTTGGGCTATTATTATGGGTTATATAAGTATTTTTTTAATGCTTATATAATATTAATAATAGCTAGACTATTAATTAGTCTCGGCGAATAATAGACTAAACTCTAGTGGTAATAATACTAGGTTTCGTCGAAGGAAATTCTTTTTAAGAAGCGAAACGCTGGCTGAGTTTGGAATCACCACCTTTTCAGGTGAGTGCATAGTTACTTTCATCTTACACATAGATATGAAGTATTCTATATAAATTACAGGCCATGCGTGCATATTATCTGAATACTTGCTATCTATGTTGGATGAACGTTTTTATACATGTTTTCAATGATTTAAACTGTATATGTATTTTATATCTACGAAAATATTGGGGTAAAACATGTGTAGATGTAATAGGTGATGTGTGATAAAATGATGAGAGGCCTCGATGTAGTTGTTGTTGATCTAGTCATCTAGCATAGTATAGATGACGACCACAGACACTTCTAGACAGTCCAGTGGAACGCTGGCAGGCTCGCAACCTGTACGTGTTTGTGAACGATGTGTTCACCAGTGTACTCCATCCCCCACATGAGCAGTTTCTTGCATTACAGGTAGTGGCGCATGAGCATAGATGTGATGTTTTGGATGAGGGATTACAGATATAGGCATGTAGATACGAAATAATGTAGTAAGGCTTATATTGTATTGTTTATGCTTTTGATCTATATCGAACATGACATCCCAACTCTTTTAATGAAATATATTTCCTTGGAAATGCTTTTGATAAATCTTTATCATATTTTGTTTTGGGACAAATTTTGAAACACTTTTATTTAAAATGTTACTCTGATTTTCAAACAAAGCATAAACAAAATTAGTCTTTTCTAGCCGTGATTTTGGGGATGTCACAGTTGGTATCAGAGCATTAGTTTAAGCGACCTAGGAATTTGTGGGATTTCTAGACTTAAACTTATAATGCTAAGCGATGATTGTGAGGTGTGAGCACTAGCTTACTTTAGGAATTGTGCCTAAAATGCTTTTATGTGATAAATGCTTTGTGCCTGATATGTTGTTAATTGTTCGGATCTATGGTCTGTTGCCGACTGAATCTGGAAACCTTATATGTTTAGGATTCTGAACGTACGACCACGATATTAGAACTAGCATGTAAACGTTTCGGAGAGATAAGGATGATTTGAACATCAGTCCTAAATAAAGATCTAAATTCACCTTATTCGGTGTATAGATCAAGATGGAAAGTACCCGTAGTGGAAACGTGAATGCAAATGGGAACAGAAACCAACCCCCAGTGGTCGAGCAAATACCAGTTGTTGAAGGCGCTGCTGAGCCAATAACGATGGTCGGAGTGCAAGCGATGATCCAGGCGATGTTGGATCATCAAATAGAGGAAACCAGATGTTTGCTCCAGCAAAATCGAGAGGAAGCAACTATACAAATCGAGCAACCCGAGTTGAATAAAGGGAAGACTGAGGAGGGAAACTACAGTGGGACTGTTAGTCAAGCCAACCCACCGATAGTTAGGCAAAACCACCAGGATGGAGGAAACAACAGACGTAGATGCAAATACAAGGATTTCATGGCATCCAAACCACCGAGTCTATCTGGAAGCTCGACGCCGGTGGAATTCACGAACTGGATCTCTGAGCTGGAGATGATGTTTGAGAGTTGCGAGTGTAGCAACAGGCAGAAGACAGCTCTCGCGGTTCCTCTGTTGAAATCTGGAGTACTAAGCTGGTGGAAGCTATTAGGTGATTCAATACCCAAAGGTGAAGCAAGCAAGATGTCGTGGGAGGATTTTCTGGTACAGTTGAAGATACAATACTGCTCTGAGCAGGAGCTTCTGAA